ACTCAAATTTTCGATACCATGATTGTTTACTTACGTAACTTTATTCATATAGAATTTCACGCTGATATTTTATTAACGCAGTTAAGCTACCAACATCATCTGTTAATAATAATTTTCGCAAATCCTAAAAACACGCAGCTAAATAAATAAATTATTAAAATAACAGCGAGGTAAGTTGTCGAACATTCGCTCGAACGATTTCACCGCGTTATTTCCCTCTTTCGCAACGTAAATCTCTGGAAAAGTTTCATTCGAAAGCAAGGACGACGAAAATTTCAATCTCAGCGATTTTTATCTCCAGAAATGCAAAGATAAATTATCGTTTAACGTTCGTTCGTTCCTCCGACGATTTCGGTATTTCGCTGCTTCTCCAAAACTCGCAACTTTCCAAGAATTTATAATTCGAAACGCGGGATGATCGAAACTCCACTGTCACCAATTTCCCCGCAATTTTCCCAAAACGCAGAAACTTACCGATAAAATCCTAACCGAACTATCCTGCTCGTTCGAACCTCGATAAAACCTAATCTCTACGAATAATAAGTTAACAGCTAAGGGATGGCACTGAGGGGTCGGCCGAGAAGCAAAACACAGGTACCTACTCGTCCAATCTAGAACACAGCTTCTCTATCGTACAATAAGAAACTATAGCCGTTTCATTCGACCGTCGCGCGTTTCCTTCTTTTATCGTCTCGTTTGCTCTCCGCGGCTCTAAAAGAAAAGAAAAGACGATTCGCTGTGTGATATCGTCGCGAACGATCAGTTCACTCGCTCCTTCCTTCTTTCTCTCGATTGTCTGACGTTCAATTAGCGGCGTAATTAAGCTAGCTACGGAGACGAAGGATTTGCCGGATCATCCTCTGCCCTGTGATAACTCGAGACTGTGCTAATTTATTCATTGGATGTCGCGAAACCGCGCGAAGCTCTCGAAACACGATTCACTTGGGGAATTCGATTCGTCCTTGCTGCTGCGAATTATGCAGCTGGAGGAGGAATACGCGTTCTCGAGCGCGAGATTTTTAGCTCGATCGCGAGGAACCGATATTTCCAGATGGGCGGATTTCCGCTCGAAAGTTTTCACAGACTGCGACCTCTTTGGAGACGTATGACGAATTTTTCCGATTGCCGAGTATTCCACACCGAATTTTTCAGAGATACGAATTACTTTATTAGCTTTCATCGGCGACTTTTTTTTTTTTTTTTAGTAAACAATAGATTAGTATATCTTAAATTCGAGAGACAGGTTGAAAGTTATTAAAAGGCTAGTTCGTATTTCACTTTGGTGAAACGCAGGTTAATGAATGAGCTTTAAATTAGGTCTGTGTTAGGTTTAGTTTTGGGGTAGAGGTGATAAATCGATAGCGAAATCTCATTTTCCGGGTCAGCTTCGGTTAATCCGAAACAGGTGGTTAGAAACTCGCACCTAAATCTCCACCAAAATCTCCATTACTATTCGTAATTTCGCTGATATTGTACAATAGATTAAAATAATCGGACAAGTGTTTTTACTTCTCTTACATCGTACAACTCTTAAATCGATTATGAAAGAAATTAACGATCAAACATCTGTTTTTCTCCTTTTCTACGCTGATTTGACCGCGTGATCTATAAACCAGCCGTCGCAATTGTATTCCATCTTTATGCCAGAAATAAATTTCCCAGTCACGATCCACTCTTTTCTAGTCTTCATCCGGTATCGTTTGTAATTTCATACCACAACCAATGCTGTTTTAATTAACGTCTCTGTAAATCTATGTTTCAATTTCCAACAAATATCTTTCATCTCCTATTCGAAACCTATTTCAGCATTTCCAAAAAATGGTCGAATTTCAATCGTCCTTTCTCTTGCGGCTTGCAAATTCCATATTATAGCCAATGACGTTTTAATTAGCGTCAGCGTTTCTATAGATCTAAATTTCAACCAAATATCAATTCTCACCCTATTGCAGACGTATCTCGCTACTAAAAATAAAAATTTCACATTTGTCGCAAATGAATTTGTGAGACAATTACGAGATCAGATTGCTCCCATTCCTCCTCCAGCGTCGTTACAATTTTACATCAAAGTCCAACGCTATCGATACTAGAGTCAGTGTCCCTAAAACTATCTCTGAAGCAATTCAGAGAAACGTTAACAGTGTTCGATAATCGTTTCTACATATCGAGATGGATCTACCGTTGCGGTTTTCCAGGGGATTTTGTGCGTTTACAGAGAGAGAGAGAGGGAGAGGGAGAGAGAGAGAGAGAGAAAGGGGGAGTAAGAGAGTGGAGACTGATCCACAACGATAAAACCGGCGCGATTGCACGGGGAATTGACTAAGCTTCGGGTGGATCGTCTCCTCGGTCAACTTCCGTTGCCGTCGAACTTCCGAGAGCCTCGCGAGGACGCGGCTGGCCAGAAATTGCCAACTCGTGGAAACAATCTTACATGTGTACATGTGTCTCTGTGTGCGCACGTATATGTGTATGTAGATTTAAGCAACGATGAATTAGACTCGGTTGGAATAGTCTTCGTGCGAATCGAAAAATACATACAAATATCATAAACGTTCGCGATATATTTAAAAAGTTTAGCTTGAGAATATTTGTGGTAATATTTTAAGCGATTGGAGATATCGGCGATTTTAGATACGTTCGATATATTTGGTTAATTGGAAATTACGTGTTATCGATATTTCTTACTTCCTCTTGTTCCTTTTTGTTTTTTATCCTGTTAGGATGTAATATAGAAAAGATTGCATCGCGGATAAAACGATTTTCGTGGATTTTAATCGTAAAAGAGCGTTCGGTGAAAATCTGAAAATACGACAGAATCGAAAGAGGCAGTTTCGAATTCTTTGATGATATGTAATCGAATTAATTAGTAAGGGGTACTCTGTGATTGATAAAATGAACAGGTATCGGTGGAAGTTCATCAGAGGCTGTAATTTCGTCGATTGCAACCCGATCGGATTCCCATTTCCATTTGCGAATTTATATCCAATTAATGTTGTTAAGTTATCGCTGATTGATCATCCGATGGAAATTAGTCGAAATTAGATATCTACGTAATCGATAATCCAGTCTGTAATTTACTTATTGATACTTTTCGAAGACATTTTTCCCATTCTTCCTGAGAAAGGCTGTTCCTTCCGCGGTAAACGCGTAGAAAAAAAAAAAAGAACAGTAAACGGAGTAAAATCGCTAAAAATGTTAATTAACTAAATCGTAATATAATCATCGATACTAATCCTATGTTCTACTTACGTAAATTCTAGACAAGATTTATATCTACTGTTATATCAATTATTAGAAAGAACTTCTTTCTACGACCCACGAAACATCGAGCCTCGAAAGGGTTTTCTTATCGGTTAAGGGCGTTTTATCACCTGTACCAATTTTCCTTCGAATCCCTCGATTTTCCCGACACCTTGCCGACCGATAATAAATCTTGACACGAGACGCGTGTAAAAAACCGAGAAAAGGATACGAAAGATCGGCCATAAAGCACACGAAGACTATTCTCCACCAATTATGTACAAACGTTCTCTATAATCGAGCGAGCTAATGAAAAAGTCGCGCGAAAAACACGAGTTTATATTTAATAATCGATCGTTCGAAAAAGGGACTCCATTATGGAGAATAAAAGTACGTCGAAAAGTCAATAATACAAAATGGTCACTGAAAAGTGCCAGCTGGTTAAGCAGCCTGTAAACGTACGCGGCGATAACGAGTCCGTGCGTAGAAAAACGTGAATCGAACGTGTTTTTCCCCTCGAAGATGCATATATTATATTCCAAGCGTACTCCGTGTCATCTCGCGAGATCGCGCTCGATAAATCCGATTCGAGTCTCGTCGACGTCCGATAGCACGCGCTTCAAAATTCTCCTCACCGTGCGTAGGTGGAATTCAGCCTCGCGAACGATCCGTCGATCGTTCCGGGACGGTTTTGACGCGACTTGAACGCTTCTTCATTTACGAGAAGAGCCAAATTGATGTTTCGCTCGTCGTCGCCTCGCAATTCCTATCACTCACCTCGGCTTCTTGTTGGCTGAAACCGACGATCGACGTTTCTCGAGTCGTTCGTTTCATCGTGTTCAAGTTCTCACGCTTGTAAGTTTCATTGGTTTAGTTAGATTTTGCGGATATCGGTGGAAAGAAGAGATCGATCGAGATACGTAACGTTTGGCATGCCAGATCGATTGCTTTTTCGTGTTTAGAAGAAGACTATGGATCATGGAGTTGTCCGAGCCTTCGTTGCAATTTAGAAACATAAAAGCTTCTTGAAATGGAAACTCGAAAAACGTTGGAACGCGTAATTCCTAAACTTGTAGAGTAAAACGTCGTATCGATTGCTCCTTCGTTGGCCATAAATTTCCCAAGGCTTGGAACTCGCTTCGTCTCATCGAGAAACGTTGTCAACCGGATTATTCCCATCGTTAAAAATCCCAGAAACTCGATACATCGCTTGATCTCGCGCCAAAGCTCAAATTCGGCGAGAGAGCACCCTTTAATCCACGATCCTTGCTACAACGAATTCCTTTCACCGGAAGAATACCAAATACTCTGCGAATATCCATAAAATCTATCTTGCCAAGCGACAACGGCGGAGAAAGCTTGTTCGAAGTGAGAAAATAAAAATTCCTCGGCAAGAAGGATCGTTCGAGACGCGTCAAACCTTGAAGAACACCGGTGAGAACGCACGCGACGATACACACACATACACACATCGCGCGATTCGATTATGCACGCTCTTATGTTTCGCAATAGCGAGAACCGTCCTCGTCCTCGTGCACGGGCCGTCTTTCCGATCTGTTTGCTGGGTCGTCCGGCGAACATAGCCGCTTCTACGTGAACAGAACCGACAGAAACAGGAGCAGAGAGCATAGGAGGACGGACAGGTCGAGGCGAACGAGGTCAGGCGAAGACGAAAACCATATGGAACCCGAGGAGCCGACACGAGCATTCTCATGGCGACTCGAAGGTTGTTCGGACGCCATTAAATCCTCCCTCGAGGGCTCCGGGCACGGCAGCTCTTCTAGTTTCAAGTCGAATAGGTTCTTCACGTAGCACAGTTTACCCTCCACCATCTGCACCTGTAACAGTATGCACGAAGAAGGGTGTTTTAGTCAGGGATGGTTGCGGTTTCAGAGTGAAGTGACATTCTTGTAAGCTTAAATTAAAGCACTGTGCAGAGCTGCAAAGATGATTAGCGAGACGACACTGGGTAAGGGAATTAGTGCTCTCTATCGCTCACCGTCACGCGTTGTTATATGCCAGTGGTTCAGTAACCGGTGTTCCGCGAGCTTGTTCTAAGAGTCCCGCGAGATTAAGTTATCCCATCTTGACGAAAGAATTATCCAAGTTGCGGTTTTTACGGACGTGTTTTCTTCTGATTAACGTTTTCTTGTTTTTTTTTTTTTTTTTTTTTTTTTTTTTTATTTCGATGGTTCCCGGTACCGGAAGATTCCGTGACGATAGTCGTCGACCCACTGGACAGAGGCTTAATGAATTCTAATTTTTTTTTTTCCTCCTTTCTTTCTCGTTAAAAGGAAACTTCTTTCTGACAGACGTTGTTCACCTTTCGAACGAACGAGAGTTTGACAAATCACCAGCCATTTGTCACAGCTCCGGTTCGAGGTTCGACGAATATTCTACCTGTTACTCACAGAACAGTGAAATATTAACGAAGTACCCTTCCGACTCTCATTTTTTTAGTCTCGGATTGTTTTCTTCTGATTAACGTTTTCTTTTTTTTTTTTTTTTTTTTTTTTTTGAGGAATATTCTTACGATTAGACAATTCAGTCTACTGATAATAAAATAAAAGTAAAATTCCTGCGACAGTATTAGAATTTCTATTCGTATAAATAACATTTCCTTACGTCTGTATGGAATTCGTACGATGTTTGTTGTAGTTTCTCGCCTTCTTCGAAAGGATTGCCGGGAACTACGCAAGAGACTGGTATCGAGAAAGTTGGCGCAATTGATAAAACTTTCGCCGCTTCTTCCTCTTTCTTTTTTACTTTCTGCTTATTTTATAAACACGCGAATAAACGATATTTCGATACTTCTTTTCGAATCTTATTAGACATCAATTTTATACGTGGAACGCCCATACACACCACACGTTTAACCTCCGTTCACGATTCATAAAGATTTTTCCATTTGGGGCGCAACTAAACGCAACATCGGAAACATTCGATGGTCCGAATTTGTTGTCCGCTGAAAACGAACGGACGAATTAAAACTTTAGTCGCGGCATTATTTTGACAAGTGAGTCGATGCGTACATATTTTGAGAATAAATCGAGGGGCGACAAACGTGGCCGAGTGCTTTGGCCGGTTTTAATTGTATATAAAAATAGAATGCGGCGTTTCGTTAAACAAATTTCACAGTTTGTTAAATCGTTCGCTTGAAACTTTATGGCGCGATACATTTTTATTAAAAGATAAAAAGAAGAGCAGTACGAATAAATAAATGCCTTTTGTCACGCAGAGAAATAAGTTACGCTATTTCGAGTAAAGTGTCGATTTTACTTGTGGTTTTTCCGAAATATCGTCATGTCTGGTCAGCTTATCCGTACCCTATGCTTCCGTTGGACATTTAAATAAAAAATAGTCTCCGAGAAATTCCGAGCACGTGGAAAAAACCGGCGAAGCCAAAGGTCCCTTCGTGATAAGGAACTTTATAACAGCGTTTCATAACCAGACAGTGTTTCGCGTCCATGTCGGCGGTATGCAGCGTTTCGTCGAATTCCAGACGATTTTTCTACATGTTTTAATTCGGTCGCGCGTCTCTTGAACGTCCGATACATTTTATCGCGATGGCATTTGGATATGCGATTAAAGCAATTTGAAAATCTTCTCTCGCGACACCTGCACGATGTATACGTTTTGCTTACAGTATAGATATCTGTTCGGACATAAAATAATATCAAATAAAATAAAAATAAAATCAGGTTACTGAAATTCGAGTCGATATTGGATCAACGTGACGCTTTGTTCGCTTAAATGCACGATCGGTAAACGGTGTGGTGTAAAATCGAATGTTTCCTTAAAATATTAGCTTGTCCGAAAAGTTTCTTCCGTTTTATGAGAAAATAATAGACGTACAACGTTTTTTTGTTTTATATTATTTGGTCGAATTACGTACGATCCATTTCGTTCTATTGAGATAAATATTTCACAGACTTGGTTTCACGTTTGTACGAAGGTGCACTGTTGTAAAAAACACGTTTGCGAAAGAAAGACACTTTCCGGACGACCTAATACCGGTTATCGACAGAGAAATATTCGCGAATATCAAAATTGTTCACGAAGAAAGAAGATAAAAGACGTTGTAGAAATTGTAGACAAATATTGCGTGATACGTGATATTATTATACCAGATACGATGAACGTAACATAAAATATAATGGCGACAGGTTATTCGTCCCTTAATTCAGCGACAGATTGGAAGAAACGTGGTGATGGAATTGGGGCGAAATTGATCCCGTTCCCTTCGATGGCAGGAAGAAAAATATAGAAGGTAAACGTATATCTTACCTTCGGCTGAAAATCGGAATTCGAGGAAGAATCCTCGTATCCATCTTTGCTCTCGTATTCGTCGCCCAAGTAGGCGTCGTCGTCCTCGATGCTGCCGTCTCTCAAGCTCCCGGTGCGATATTCCTCTGTAACAGCAGAGAATCGAAAATTCGAACAAAATGCATATCGAGCAGTCGTCGAAAATGCGTTCTAGATTGTTGCTGTTTCCTTCCTTGGTCTTCTATATCGCGAAATGAAATAGAGAGAAGAAAAGGGCTTGACATGTCGTAGATAAAGCGAAATAAAACGGAAACTTTTTTATTTAAAAAAGGACGTACAGCGTGATCCGCATAACAGTCGTCGCGAGAATCTTAGGATCCCTTTTTTTGATCATTTCAGTAAAATGGAATGTCGTTGAAAGTGTAGAGTAAAATGAAAATTAAAGGACCATGGTTCTCATTGTGAAAAAGTCGTCTGCTTATTAGGAGTATGAAAATTTCGATATCCACGATATCTTTTTTTTCTCTTTTAATTTATGTACGCCTACTGTTACGTTAATTTTCTGTATTTTCGTTTTAAGCGACGTATAATTTGCCTGTCAGCTTTTAAAGAGAATAACTACATTTTCATTTGTAACCGATTGCTAGGAAATTGAAATGCTCTCGAGGAATATCGATCAATTAAACCGATACCAAATATTCCTTTTGAAGGATTCGATTATCGAACAGAGAATTTGAAATTCGAAATACCGAGGGTCCCTAACAACGAGTGGAATATCGGAAATTCTATTTTATTGGTCGGGTACTGATTAAACGTTCTAGATATCGGTAAGTCCAAGCATCGGCTGGATTATTAAAGATTTTGTACGACGGTGAATTTGATCATTGAAACGGAAAACGTTGTGATTTAATTGTGAAAAATTAGTTTGCAGGGACGAACAACGAAACTGCAAAATTTCCCTCCATATCTCGAACGTTGATTAATTTGTTTAGCGTTCGCTTTCAGCCGCAATTTTATGCCCTGGACATTAAATTTTGTCATTAATTCGATTAATTCAAGTAATTTTTAGCCCTCAGATGATATCGTCGAGACACAGGGAATTATTACAAAATATTTGTTTTATGAAATTTTATCCCCTGGGATGTAATGCGGGTACTAGGTGCAACGAAACAATGGAACAAAATTTAATATAATATTATTTGTCGATATGGTTTACAATGAAACGAAAGCTCCTTTGTCTCCAAGCGGTGTTCGGTCTTTTTTTTTTTTTGTATTTCATTTCATTTTTCGAGCCTTTATTCGTATCTGGCAGTAATAGTAAACGTAACGCACCAGCAAAATAAATGAATTTAATGGATTCGTGATTTACGTTATGGCTGGTCGTTATAAAGGTTAATATTTCGGCACACTTTGTACCAATTGAAAGAAACTGTAACGCGAAACAGGTGTTCCTGCGATTCAGTTTTGCACAAAGTGGCTAATAAATAGAAACGATTTTTTTTTCTTTTCAAATGTATCGATTAAAAATCCATCTATACACGGCACACATATCGCGTTCCGATTCGTTTCGTAAAATAATATTTCCTTTCTTCCGTTTAACGATAAAAATATTGTACGCTTCAATCTACGAAACTAGATTCGAGTAGATGAATTTTTACTACGAATAATTAGTCAAAGTTTTTCCTTTTAATTTTTGGTAAATCGAAATAAATTCGGAGATGGTTAAAATGTCTATTCTTCCGTATCTCAGAGAATCAGAATTCGATCCAAACATTCGGTACGAAGTAACGTTTACCATGAACCGCGAAAACAATGTAGGGAAAGGAGCCATCCTAGCGGATAATGCAAGATCCCAAGAAGCAAGCCTTATTCATTCGTTACAATGACGGAAATGCACTTGGACGAATTCAGCTCACTGTCCTCAATGCTTTTTTGTTCACGTTGAAAGATAATATTTTGAATGACGACAGATTAACATCCGAATACGAATAACGGGATCATAAAGTGCGATTCACGCGTGTTCACGGTTTTACGCTACTCGTTTCATTTTTGTGCTACTATCCGAGAAAAAGCTCACCGTTAACATTTACAAAATGCATAGGTTATAGACTTTTCTTTTACAAATTTACTCGACTTCACCTGAACTTGCGTCGACTTTATACAATTTACTCGCAACGTCTTATCTAATTTATCACGCGACTCGCGATTCGTAAAACTCTCCTCTTCAACGTTTCCTTCATTTCGTTACTTTGCTTTATTACTCGCTATTTTGTTACAAACTTCTCACTTTCTTGTTTCGCTATTACCGAATATCTGCATTAATACTATAAACGCGTGTATAAAATACTATAAAACTTCATCGACGCTGTTACATAGTTTTACAGAACAAATGGGTCTAAGACGAAAATCTGGCTAGCAGAATGTCCAAGAAAATTGAACGGGCAGACAGTAGAAACGAAAAGCGTGTAAGCACCTTGAACCTACCTGAGTTCCGTGCAATTTCGAGCGCTTCGTTCCATTCGAGGTCGTCGTTGTTGATCTTCAGCGTTGCGTTATTGCTCTCCAGGAAGCAAGTGAGCTCCTCCAGGGACTCCCGCAGCTTTACGTTCTTCGTCTCGTTCCTCAGGCCCCAGATCCATGCCAGCTTGCAGTCGCAGATCAGTTTATTGCCTGAAACCGAGACACCGGCGGTGGATGTTTGATTAGATGGACCTTCGTCTCAACGTGTTTCCACGCTGTCGTTCATTGGAAAAGGACGCAGCAATGCTAGAGGAAGTTCGGGAATACTCGGATTTCATTGAGAAATTTAATAATATTACCAACGAGCTTTCACAATTATCCTACTTTTGGTAATTGTATCAGATTGTCGGAAAAGTTTCGTTTCGTTTCATCTTTCGTTTTATATTATTTTATTGAATTAGGTATCATCCATTTCGTCGTATTTTTATTATCATGGTCGTGTATAATTTAGTAAACTAATATAAGACAAAAAACATTGTGCGTCTTATAAAACGAAAGAAACTTTTTAAATATATATTGGGTTGGCAACTAAGCGATCGCGGATTTTGTCAATACCACCTAATGACAAAAATCCGCGATCACTTAGTTGCCAACTCAACAGTATCCAGTGGAATGGAGAGGTTCAAGATTTCAGATGAAAAAAAATACAACAAATCGAAGGTATATCGATACTATCAGAAAATACAAGCACCCGAGAATCTTGTTAGTTTTCTTAGTTGCAAATTAAAGTTGGTGTAGTTCTTTTTGAAAAATTAATACTACGTTAATTCTAAAAACTCGAAGAACCCTATTAGATCCATCGAATTGCAAGTAACAGTTAATTTAGGTGTACAATTTATGTATACTTTTCCCTTTTAAGAGGATACTCAAGAAATGAAATGAAACGATGAAAATACCGTTCGTTGCTATGTTAATTCGAATACGTGGCAACATCGTAATTCAGCGACGAAGAGTTGTAACTGTCTGCACTGAAATAATTCAAGAATGATCTGGCTGGGCTACAAGGGATGGGAGACCGCGTGCTGACTATTGTAATTAATTGTTTAATAATACATTCCTAGCAGAGGGGAAGCTTCTCCAGAATTTTGTCCCCTGTGGTCCTCAGAAATTCATGCGATTGCGGTGTGTCGTCCATATACAACCGGACACGAGGAACGAAAAGCCGACTAGAGACCGGCTTTTCGACTTTGCACGCGTTCTACCTCTAAGAGCTTCTTTATGTTCGCCACTCTTGTGGAATTTCCATAGCGAAGTTCGGCTCGCCAGGAGTTTCGCCGATTACACGCGATTCCCTCGGCCCATTTTAACGAGTTCTATTTGTTTTCGCCCCCCCACGAGCGTTGGGAATGCTTTCGCGTTGTCTGAGAATCGCGAGAAAACCTTGCCGATTCGGACAGCCATGAAATTTATATGAAATTAAGAGATAACAAAATCCTCGGATGAAAATAATCCTGGGAAAAATACGAGCTTCGAATACAGTTTTCATCTCATTTTTTTACCTTTTATTTTCCATTTTCTTCCCTTTCGTGTACCTATTGATTTCTCGATTTTGATAAATACAATGGAAAAATGTCCGATGCGAAAAATATACACGCGAGATATATCAAATCTCCAGTGCATCTGTATAGAATAACATCGTAACAAATTCCCAATACAACGTTACAAGTTATTAAAAAACAAACGAAGGGATTAATTTTTCGGACATTCTGTACCTCCGCCCGTGAAACGCACAGAATATGCGATTTCCCGGAGAGCAGCTACAAAATTACAGAAAATTCATTGTCATTTACGGGAAAGCAGCGTTGATATCTTTTCTTCTCCGTTTTCTTTTTTCTTCTCCTCTCCCCACCGCGATGGCGAAGAGCGAGGAAAGAAAGAATGCTATTAAAGTTGGTCGTTTCATTTTCGAATTCAGTGAAGAAGGATTAGCGCCAGACAACACCTCGCTTCTGTGAATGTAATGGATACGAGCGTGGTGATTGTTGCGTGGACAATGGCGCTTAGCAATTATTTTAAAGCGGCCCTCGAAACAATGAGAGCGAGTCGCGTATATAGTAACTTGTTCCATATTCCAGCTTTGAAGCTCATAATGACTCATAATAACAGCAGAAGCGGTGACTGAAGACGAACCAAGACAACCGTCTCTGTCCCTTTAATCTCCATTTATCGTGCTTTCATTGTTACGCGGCTCGGTCTCGCGATACATCCGTTTAAATTCACGTGTCTCGAACCTCGCTAGCTACTCTTTTAAGGAGACAACAGTAGAAATCATCGAATCTCATTTTTTGGAACGACGAAACCAGAGTAAGAGGAGAAAGATGAAACTATCGTTTGTTGTCTATCAGATTTTTACAAATTTTGACACGCTACGAGATGTATTGGTGCCTGTAAGAGTGAAAACCAGAAAAAAAACGTTATGATGCAATTTTTCAGAAAGTCAGAGAGAACAGCGGAGTCGTAGGATAGAAAATAAGAGTTCTCTAATCTTTTACCAGGCTTTTTGTTTATTTCGTTCATTACGCTTATTTTTGTACAGGGAATTAGAATGATGGAATTGCGACGAGGAAATGGCAGGAAATTTTGTACTTTTTATTAAAGTCTCGTTCCTCTGGATTACTTTTTCACAGATCAAAATAATGGAATCGTGAAAAAAATGGAAATTTTTTTGCAAATTCTTCACCGACTCTCATTTTTGTGGAAATTTTTCCCAGAGATTTAAGTATACGCGTGAAAATTATCGTAACGCGATCGGATCGCAATTTTTTAGCGCATTGAAAAATCAAAGTATTAGAATCGGTCGTTTTTATTTGCTACGATTACTATAAAATTTATTTCCCAGCAATATTCCATTTTTTCATATTCCCACGAACGTTTCCCGCAGGTTTCTGAAACTTTCTCCAAAGGGATAACTTTCAAGGAAAGAGGTAAAACTCCTAAGAAAACAGAACGTTCGCTAAATTTACAATGTCCACGAGCTCGTCGAAATAAAGAAGGCAATCTCGTAAATAAAAAAGTTAAGGATTCCATGAAAATAAAGTGTTCAAAGAGGCACAGCTTCGAACCTATTTATCAAGATTTTGTAAACGAAAGAATGATTTATGTAGAGTCTTACGCAAACGAACCTTACCTTCTACGGTGAAACAAGCGCCGTATTTAAGTAAGATCTTTTAACAAACAGAAAAAACGAATAGAAATATTTTCATTAATTGGTAGAACGCCAAGTATAGAGAAGCTTGCTGTGAAAAGGCTATATAAGAAGATAAAATGGTGAAAATTCTAATTTCGCTATTTCAATATCGGCAACCTTTGAATTGACAATTATAACGACCCTTAAGAGGCTTTATACCTTTTCTATACTTAGGAAATAAGAATTTTTCACGTTTTCATGAAGACGATCGGAAACGAAAAAAGAACTGTAACTTCCAAATGTTTCGTATCTTCCACAAGGAACATAAATCGAAGAAGAGACAGGGTCAAGAAAACTATAGAAAGAACTGACAATACCAAGAAGACAGCGCGTCTGGGAATGTTTAAAAAATACGAGCGATCGAAATTCGCTGGATGCAGGGGGAATTAGCATAGAAATTCGTCTCGAGGCAGGTGAAATGATATTATCGTCGCTGATTGCTTCCGTTGGTTCGTCCAGCGACGAGTTACAAACGAGTAGTAGAACGACAGAGCTCCTTGCTCTCTACTCGTTTTCTTCCTGCATCTTTCATGGCCGACATTTTCTAGTACCTCGCGTTGTGTTAGCGGGATAGTGCGCTGAAAATTGAAAGGCCAACCTGGCGAAGCAAGCGGTCTCGTGGGCTCGACTCGTGAAAGAATAACGAAATAATATAAAGAGATCTGGAGGACGGATCTCGTTTGCTGGAACGCGATCCTGCCTGATTCATCGCGGAATCAAGGAAAATACAGGTCAGAATAGGGACGTGCTGTTTCCGGATGAGCGACAAAATTGAATAAGTTGTCTCCCTTCGAGCATGAACTTGTATAGGGTTAAATCTCGTGGCTCGTTTTCGTGTTTCCTTCGTACGGGCAACGTTGCTTCTCTGCTTGACGGTTATTGCCTGCATTCTAAGTATTTTTGCCGTGATTTGTCTGTTGTGCGCTGCCGATGAAATTGCTACAGTGTAGGTTCGCCTTTTGTGCAAAGAATTTACTAAGGACGAAGAGAGATAGTTTTTAGTTTTTAGTTTTTCTCCTAGATATTCGTATCGTACGTTATTTTATCACCTTCGTAATCAGTCTTTTTTCGCCGCGCTCAACCTTTCCTTCTAATCAATTTTTTTTTTAATTATTAAAATTTACAATCAATTCTCGCATTGAGAATTTTCAGTAATTTTTTCTGCCGTGACGCAGTGACATGGCTAATTATTTATAAGTTAATACTTATTATAGATAAGTGTAACTTATAAGTAAGTATTATAAATAAGTAAATGTTACTTAATTTAGATAACTAATTGAATCTAGCGTTTAGGTCTAGCGGGTAGTGTCTCTTCAGCCTGCGGTTCCGGTCCGACGTATCGAGTAGTCCGGTAATTAGGGGGTTTCGATGTTTCTTGACTCTTTTGCTATACCTGTCGCTATATTTTGCTATTTCCTCCTGGATTGTTGGTATCTCGAGGTCGCGATGTATTAGTTCGTTGGTGACATACCAGGGTGCATTTATAATGATCTTAGCGTTTTCGATTGGAAGCGTTGAAGTATTTCAATGTTGGAGTTACTTGCTGTTCCCCATAGTTGGATTCCGTAGGTCCGGACAGGTTTTATTACGGTCTTATATAGGGTAATTTTATTCTGTGTGCTTAGTTTGGAGCGTCGGCCAGATTTTATTCAAATTATTAAATTTTATTAAAATCTGAATCGGCGAGCAAGAAATCCAAGTTAAATTTTTCTAATATTTCAAAATCCATCTTCTCAATTTCCTTTGTCGGTGAAGAGGAAAATTCTGCCGAATCTTTTCATCGGCGATTATCTGTAGCCACGCGTTCCATACCGAGACGTTGCAATGAAAATTTATTCAACGGTTTCAAACGAGCCGAAAATGAAACAGGATAGCCGTTTGAACGCGACCACTTCATCGTTGCACGCAGATTTAATAGCGACATTTAACAGCATGCCTATCGAATAATTTTCCGTCGGAAGCC